CCCCAAAACCCCAAAACCCCAAAACCCCAAAACCCCTAAATCAAAATTAAGATTTATATTATAATTGAATAGATACAATAAAATTACAAATACAAATTTAAATGAGAAAAACTTTAATTATCACTGTTCTCATTATCTTAGTGAATATCGCTTCTTCATAAGACTTAATATTAGACTTGTGGAATAAACTGCCGAAGACAGTTGCAGAAACTAAAAAGCATTCCTACAAGAGGAAAAACTCTTTTAAAATAATGTAGAGATAGCAGGAAGCAACTTCAAGCATGCATGAAAGAATTAAAGCAAGCAGACTGAGGTCACCAATGGTAGGAGCTTCAGCAATTGATAAGAATGGCAATGGGACCTTCTCAGCTAGTCTAGGATTCATAGGAGGATTATAACTTTAAGAAAATGTATTCTCAGTGTGTTCAGCAACATTGATATCAGAAGTTTAAATTCTAGATGAAATAATAAGTTATTTCAAGGAATTCTACCTTCCAGCAAGGTGGGGTAATGCCATGAGAGCCTACTAAGATCTCATCAATCTATCATCTGGAATATATGCTGACTGCAAATTCGATTCCTTAATGAATACAATAAGTGGAATACTCTCATAAGAGGGACTAAGCACTTTTTTCGCAAGGTTTTTCTCTACTGCTATTTTTGACGTTGGGAAGTAGCTAAACTTATTCAAGGCTGCCAAGTCAGATTATCAAAGATGGAAGTATATTGGAAAGATATTTAGTCTTGTTTTCAATTTCAAGATCTGAGAGTAGAAGCCACCTATTTCTGAAAGAAGATTGAGTGTTAATTTGATTGGTAAATTTTAAAAATCCCCTTATAAGTTAAATTACTAAAATTTTAGTTTAATTATATTTATTATTTAATGATTTCTGAAACAACAACCGAGTGGGAAGATATTTAGGTCAAGATGGGTAATTGGAAGCCCAGAGAATTTGGCCCTACAAATGAGGAGATCTTTGAATCCAACTTAGAGTATGCTGAATAGCAGAATGACTTCGAGAGAAAGAAGCTGGAGACTTTAAATCAAATGGCTGAGGATGATCCAGATCTAGAAGAAGACGATGTCTTTGAGGAGTATAGAAAGAAGAGATTAGAGGAATTGAAGGTGTAAAGTTCAAGACCAAGATTCGGCTCCTTGCTTGAGATAGGCAGACCAGACTTTGAAGTGCAGGTAACTAGAGCCCCTAAGGATGTGATTGTATTGATTCACTTGTATCAAGATCAGTAAGTTTTAATTAAGACATAATTATCTATTTAGCATTCCAGAAAGTGTCATCTTGAATAGACTACTGACTGAAATCGCTCCCAGACATCCTTATGTCAAGTTCATCAAGATTGTAGCAAATAAATGCATTGAGAACTACTTAGACATTGATGTTCCAGGACTTCTCTTCTATAAGAACGGAGATTTGCTAGATAAGATTATCCCAGCAGCTCCAGTATTCGGCGGAAAGCACATGACTAAGGACACTGTCGAGTTTGTATTGGCTATGAAGTTGATTATCGATATGGAATTCGATGAGGATCCAAGAATCAAGCTTAAGCAATTCAACATGAGTACTAAGAAGAAGGCCGGCAAAAAGAACGAAGATGAAAGTGATAGTGATGAAAATGAGGATAGAGAATATACCAATACTCAAATGTTTAGATACAAGCACTGAGCTTTCCTCTATTGGCCAATCACATTATAAGCATGCAATACTATTTATTTTATTCTCAATATTTCATTCCAGAATATTCTTTGCTTCACTATTTTCTCTGCTACTTCTTGGGGTTTTGGGGTTTTGGGGTTTTGGGG